CCGCGTTCCTCCCCCCCCCCTCCGCTCTTGCTGCCGCTGCCGCTGCCGCCGCCGCCGCCGCCACCATGTCCGCCGGGTTGTCATCCCTGCTGAAGTCCGAGCCCGTTGACATGCTCGTCACCGCGCTGACCGACTATGCCACCCTGCCGCGGGTGGGCCCCCACGCGGTGACCCTGGAGACGCCGCATGTGGATTTCCTGGACCCGGTGGCCCTGAAAGCGGCCCTGGTGGTGGCCATGATCCCCTTCCTGTGGAATGTCATCGCCCGGTCCGAGCACCGGACCCGGTGGATGACGCGGCTGTGCGGCGGCCATGCGCGCCTCGGGTGCTACCTCCTGGCGCTGGCCATCTTCACGGCCTCCTCCTACCGGACGACCTTCATCCAGGAGGCCATCTCCGCCGGGGCGCGCTGGGCGGTCCTGGACACGCCGCTGGTGCGCATGGTGGCGGCTGTCATGTTTGTCTTCGCCAACGTCCTGGTGCTGGCCACGTACGCCCGGCTGGGCATCACTGGCACCTACCTTGGCGACTACTTCGGCATCCTGATGTCCCACCGTGTGGAGGGCTTCCCCTTCACCATCACCGACAACCCCATGTACTGGGGCTCTGTGCTGAACTACCTGTCTCTGGCGCTGTGGTACGTTTGTGGGTGTGCCTGCTGCCCGGTCCGCGATGCGGCGGGCTCCTTCTTTTCGTCCCGCCTCCCGCTCCTGGGCCCCGTGTGCCGCAATGTCCCTGGGGCGCTTGCTTGCTCACGCTTCTGCCCCGCCGATCGCCCGCCGGTGTGATTGTGCACGTCCCCCCCTCCCCCCCCCCCTCCTGCAGGAACGCCAGCCCTGTGGGTATTCTCCTGTCGGTTGTCGTGTATGTCGTGTACTACGTGGCCATCCAGTTCGAAAAGTGCGCAGCCGCCCCCCTCCCTTGCTCCCCGCAGCCGCCCCCGCCTGCTGGCGTCCCGCTTGTGCTGGCCATGATGTTTGCTAACGGCTATCACCTCGGCCCGGCCCTCTGCCCGGTGCTCAGCCCGTTCACTGCCATGATCTACAACGAGGCCGCCGCCAAGAAGGCCGCCGCCGCCAAGAAGTCCCAGTAGCCGGCCCTCGGGAGAACCCACTGACCAGGGCAGCTTTCTTCTTTTCTCTTCTCTGGCCAGTCTGCCCTTTCTAAATAGAAACCGTGACCCCGGTACAGGTCGATACGTCCCCCCCTCCCTCCCCTGCATCGTCGCCTGCCAATCGCACGGGCGCGGCGCATTCTATAGTTACATTGGCCCGTCGGAGGGGGGAAGGGGAGAAAAGGGCGAGGAGGGTGAGCACGCCCGCGGCGGCTCGGAGAAAAAGAGGGCACAGCAGCCTGGCCGCGGGCGGGCGCGGGGATTACAGGGGAGGGGGGGGGGGGGGTCTTTCTCGGCTGAGAGAAACAGGGGGACGAGGAGGAGTGTATGTGTGGCGGGGGGGGGGGGGGGGGGGGATCTATATGTGTATGTGGCCCTCCACCCTACTGGGGCGGGCTGTTGTTGTTGTTGTTGTTGTTGTTGTTGGTGGTGGTGGTGCCGGCCGGGGGCGGGGAGGTCTCCTGCTGGGTGCCGTCCTCCTCCTTGGGGGTCTGCTGCTGCTCCCCGGGGGCGGGGGCGGCGGGGTCCGAGGCGGCGGCAGCCACATCGGCCGGGGTATCCGTGGGGGCAGTGTCCTTCATGGGAGTATCCGCACCAGGGGCGCTACCATCGGTGTCCTTGGTGTCGGCGTCCTTGGTGTCGGTGTCCTTGGTCTCGGTGAAGGAGGCCAGCGAGTGGAAGTCCTTTGGCACGGCGTACGGCCTGCGGGGAGGAGGGGGCGCGAGAGGCGCGGGCGTGGGTGTTAGAGCCATGTGGATGGGGGCATGGTGTGCAGATGTGTGTGCGGGGGTGTGGGGAAGGTGCGAGGGGGCGCAAAATGTCCTGGCGCTGGGTCTCCCCGGTCACGGGGTGGTGGTGCACGCAGAGGAGCCCCGGGACGTACCGCGGCCCAATCAGGTCGACGACATCGCCGAAGCGCAGGACCTCGCGCTCGAGCAGACGCTCGGCGATCAGCTTCACCTTGTCCTGGTGCTTCTCGATCAGCTCCAGGGTGTGCTCGTACACCTCGTCCACGAGGGCCTTGGCCTGCAGTAGGTGATGTGAAGAGAGGAGGAGAGAGAGGGGAAGGGAAAAGGAAGGAAGCCGGATGTCAGCGCACGAGGGAACACGCAAAAGAGGCAACAGCGGATGCATGTTCCCCTTGCCCCCCCCCTCCTAGGCTGAGGACGCACCTGGCGATCGATCAGAGTGGAGGTCACCTCACTGAAGGGCTTGGTGGAGAAGGAGTCCTCCTGGGGCAGCTGGTAGGAGATGTTGCCCAGGGTGGGGCACATGCCGTAGGTGGCGATCTGGGCATACGCCGTGCGGGTGATCTTCTGCAGGTCATCCTGCGCACCGCTGGACCGATGGCCGAAGAAGACCTGCTCGGCCGCGCGCCCGCCCATGGTCATGCACATCCGGTGGAAGAGCTGCTCCTTGGTCAGGAGGTAGCGGTCCAGCGGCATGTTCATGGCGTACCCGAGGGCCTGGGTGCCGCGCGGAACAATGGACACCTTCATCAGCGGGTCGGCGTGCTCGAGGAACCAGCCGGCCACCGCGTGGCCTGCCTCGTGGTAGGCCACCACGCGGCGCTCGATGGCCGACAGGACGCGCGTCCGGCGCTCCAGACCGGCGATGACACGCTCGTGCGCGGCCTCGAAGTCGGCCAGGGTGACGGACGACGCATGCCGGCGACCGGCGATGAGGGCGGCTGTCGAGCAAATGGGAGGGGGGAGGGGGCAGCAGACGGCCAAGCGAGGATGGCGGGGGGCAGGCAGGGTCAGTGGCCGTGGCAGGGGGCGGCTCCGGACGTGAGGCGCCACAAAGCGAGGGCAAGCACGCACCCTCATTACAGATGTTGGCAATGTCGGCGCCGGAGAACTGCGGCGTCATCTGCGCCATGCGGGCTGCCACATCGTCAATCGAGCCCTCCAGGGCAATGGGCTTGAGATGGACCTTGAAGATCTGCTCACGCCCGGCCAGGTCGGGCAAGTCGACATGGACCTGGCGATCTGTGTGTGTGTGTGTGTGTGTGTGCGTGTGCGTGTGTGTGTGCGTGTACGTGCGTGCGTGCGTGTGCGTGCGTGCGTGTACGTGCGTGCGTTCATACAAAAAAGGCCCGGGAAAGCAGGAGGTCAGAGCAGGCGAGGGAGGACATGCGGCCAGACACATGCACCGGGGTGCGTACCGAAGCGCCCAGGCCGGCGGAGGGCATCATCCAGGACGTCCGCGCGGTTGGTACCGGCCAGGACAATGATGCCATCGGCCGGGTCGAAGCCGTCCATCTCCACGAGGATCTGGTTGAGGGTGCTGTCGTGCTCGTCGTTGGAATGGCTCCGGCGGTTGCTGCGCGACCGGCCGATGGCGTCGATCTCATCGATGAAAATGATGCAGGGGGTGTGCTTCTTGGCGGTCTCGAAGAGATCGCGCACACGGGCCGGCCCGACACCGACATACATCTCGATGAACTCCGAGCCGGAGACACTGAGGAAGGGAACGCCAGCCTCACCGGCGGTGGCCTTGGCCAGCAGGGTCTTACCGGTACCCGGGGGCCCGGTCAGCAGGGCACCGCGGGGGATCTTGGCCCCGAGCTCCCGGTAGATGGCCGGGTTCTTGAGGAAGGACACGAATTCCATGATCTCCTGCTTGGCCTCATCGACACCGGCCACATCGGCGAACTTGACCTTCACCGTGTCCGGCTGGAAGAGCTTGGCCCGGGACTTGCCGACATTGAACATGCCCATGACGCCGCCGCTGCCGCCGGCGCCGCCGCCAGCACCGCCGCGACTCTGGAAGGCCTGGCGGAGGCGCGGATAGAAGATCACACCGAAGAGCAGCAGCGGCAGGGCGATGGACATGAGCCCGGTGAGGATGGGCGACTCATTGTCGCTGGTGTTGTAGATGATGGGGGTGTCGTGCAGCCGGGAGCTGGGGTTGGCGGCCATGCGCTCGCGCAGGGCACGCTCAAAGACCGCCGGCGAGGGGATGCCAAAGTGGATCTTTGCACGCGCGCGAGGTGGGTTAGAGGAGAGAGGGGGCTTCTTTTTTGTTTCTTTCTCGCGAAGGGGGCGCATACCGTGTGCTTGGTGGGGAAGATGCTGCGCTCCTTGTCGGCAGCGGGGGCAGCCGAATCAGCCGCAGAGTCAGCAGCGACAGCAGCCCCGGTGTCCGCGGCGACAGCAGCCCCGGTGTCCGGGGCAGTGGCCGACTGGGCCGCCAGGGCGGCGATCGCGGCCTCCGGGCTGGCCGGGTCCACGGGAGTGGCCGGGGTGGCGGCGGCGGCGGCGGCAGCAGCAGCAGCAGCAGCAGCAGCGGCGACCGGCTTCTCCGGGGGCGCGGCGTGGTGCCCGATGTCCATGATCGTGGCCATGACACTGGTGTCCATGACCTTGATGCTTTCGACCAGGCCCTTGTCGAAGTAGTGCGTCAGGAAGTCCTGCATGGAGATCTCCTGCGTCGGGGCGCTGCCCGAGGACAGGGAGTACAGCAGGTAGGCCAGGATGGCCAGGTTCAGGCCGACCAGCAGGGTCTGCATGTTGGACTTCTTCTTGTTGTCGCCCGAATCGCCGTCCTGCTGGTTGGAGCCGGAGCCGGAGCCGGAGGAGGAGCCGGAAGAGGAGCCGGAGCCGGAGCCGGATCCGTCGCCGGAAGAGGAGCTCTCCTTGGCGGAGTGCTTCTTCTTGGCTTCCAAGTCCTTGGGAGGGTCGTCCTTCTTGTCGCCATCGGAGCTGTCGGGCGGCTGGGACGAGGACGAGGAGGAGGAGGAGTACATGGCGCAAATGGCGCGAGCCAGACCGGCGTCGGTGCCGGTGAAGCGGCGGATGGCCTGCTCCTGCGTGAGGAGACCCCCGCGCATGGCGCTGCCGAGGGCCACTGACGGGTGCGGGGAGACGGGGAAAAGGAGCACAGGTGAGCGGGCGCCAGCGGAACGGGCGCCAGGAGGGCCGGAGGGGGAGGGGGCAGCGGCGGCGGCGGCGGCGGCGGCAGCCAGGGCCACGGAGGGGACGTACAGGTGGAGAAGTGCGCCCGAGCCAGGGTGGGAGCCGGGCCACGGCCTTGGGCCGGGTCACGGGCCGTGAAGAGAGAGGCGTTGCCGGCGGCGGCGGCGACCATGGTGCGGGAGGAGGAGTCGCGGCCGACGCGCCCGGCCTGGGCAAGCCCGAGAGCCAGGCGCCGACTGGCGGAGCCCTGGCCAGTGACACGCCCCAACGAGAGCATGTCCGAAAGAAAGGAGGGGGGTTTGAGGTGGGGAGGGGAGGGGGGGGGG